TGCTTAGGACCAAGTAAAGCGCTATACAAATACAGACCATTTCTTTTGGTGCAGAACAGGGTTTTTTTTATTATATATGCTCATCAGGTAGGTGGGTGAAACGAATCAGTATTAATCCCTTCAAAACATCATTAAGCACGTACTGTGCTAGTGATGGCTACCACTCTTCAAACATCGCCCACTCAGAGGTCAGACTCTGCACTAACAGGTGTAAGTATTGAACTTTTATGATGAATTGTTCTTTACAGAGCTTTGTTTGAGCAGAACGAAAATTAATAACAGCGTAGAAAAACTTTAGATTTAGCCTTTTTTTTGCTTTTATCAGGGCAGTTGTTGGTTTTCAGATATATCGTAGAGTTCCATCATGTTGAAAGAATGTCAGTAATGGCTGTCACTGATGCTTTAGATCATGTGCATTAGACTGAGTGTTTTTACAATGAAAATGTATTATCGTCCATCACGTGCAAAGTTTTACATTCAATATTCTTCAAAGGCTTGGATCCTAAGAGCCACCACCTCTATTTTAAAATAATATGAATTTTTCAATATGATAAAAAATGTGTATAAGACACTCTGAGTAGCTCTATGGTGAGGTTGAACCTATAAATTATGATCATAGATTTAACAGCACACAGTTAGCAGATCTGTGTGGCTGTTTGGGGATTAAAAGAAACAGTTGTTTTTATGTGTGTCTGTGATTTTAATGTGCTGAATAGTTACATTTCTTAAGGTCTCTGCGTCGCCACAGCTTTGATGTGTTGTGTAAGGAGGTTCACATGAGTTTTAGAGCCCCCTTACAAAGCCTCTGCAACCACCCTGCACTAAAGTATAAATCTGGTTCTTTCTTGTGCCGTTTTATCCAGATCCATCAAACTTTTAAGTGAACCACTCAGATTATTTTTGTGACCAGATATTTTGGCTACCAAAGGAGGGCTCTCTGTAAGGTGAAATGTTTGTGAACTCGTTTCTGCCTCCACAACTGGCAGGTACAGAACTATTCATCCCACAGCTACTCAGTGGGTTTGCACAGTAATACCATCCATGTGTTCTTCATATATATAACAGTCGACTCAGAAGTCAGAGATTGCGAATGTGTTTTTTGTCAGAAATGTTTGTGGAAAACATGTCAGAGAAGCAGTTTCTTTGTTCAATCCTTGATGGTACTTTGTCCTGCTTCTTTGTTGAACATTAAAAGAACAGACATAGAAACCCAATCTGTCAAGCCACCCGGAACCTGAAGTTTGTGAAGTGTGCAAAAGAACACTGAAATATGCTTCTAGCTCGACTGCTGCTGGTGCAATGCGTTTCATCCCACCTGTCTCAAACTATAGCACACCCATCTCCAAAGCCTTCAGTGTGGCAGCATCACAGTTGGAGTTGTTGTGAGATGCATTTGTGATAACAGATAAGTGCAGCATGTGTGATATGCTAATGTATGCGGCATCCTTTATTAGATTGAGCTGTACCGTGTGTCTGGATTTATCAGAAAATCAAACGTTACTGTGCATGAAAAAATCATCATGTGCGGGCTTGTTTTTGTACATGGAAACAGTGATGACAGAAATAAAACAAGAACCAGATGGTGTTGAGTGTTTTCTTATGCAGTAAATGCTGCAGCCTCCCCGAGGCTTTTTCACACTTTTCACTTGTCCTTTTACAACGGCGCCCTGAAAATATTCGCAAAGACTGACTAAATTTAAAAGATTCAAAAATAGCAAACTCGTGTTGTTTTGTCTCATTGATTCCCGTCTGACAGGAGCAATCAATTTGCCGAAAGGGTTTCATGCTCGAATCCTATTAGCTCAGCCCAAAGACGGTGTGCTCGGTAAGGCTGTGAATTGTTTTTGTTAGCGACTTTGGCATGCTAGTTTATGCAGGGTTCACATCAAAGTGTCAAAAGCCAATCTGTAAACATATCTATGTTTGCGCTCACATTAATTGTTTTTACAGAGGTAGTGAGTCGGCACCCAGTTCTGCCTTGAATTCCCTTAAATTTTCTCAGGACAAACTGAATTATTCAGTCTCGCATTCAGCTACTTTTTGACATTTGAGATTTATAGCCCGTGTGGGTTTTTGGGCAAGGAATGCAGTTCGATATCCTCGGTCAGCATGAAGATGAATCCAAATATCACTGTTTGCCTTCATTGCTGCTCCAGTATTGATTCTTTAATGCTGTAAACCTTGACTAATGTCCTCACCCAACATGCTAGCAAGCGGTGGTCCTCTGCAGCCGCACAGCGGTTTAGCTCCAGACATTTGCTATCGGTCTTTGTTGTGACTCTTGCTTCATTTTTGCACTACTTCTAACATCTGAGCACTTTTTTATCTCATCGTTTGTGTCAAAAGACCCAAGCAAAAAGCCCTCTCCGTCTCTGCCTCCACTCCAGTGCCTGTCAAACTAGATAAGGCAAATTGCTGGTGTCTGTGCTTTAGTCATGTCCTACTGCCCCTCCTTTCTTCGTTACAAGTGGATAGCCCTTCCTCTCAATCTGCAGTTTGTCTCTATCTAGGCTAACATAGCTGATTCTTATTGGACGCAGCCAGGGTTCAGCAATTCAGTATCTCTGAGTATACTTACTGTACAGCTCACGCACATGCTGCATTTGAAGCACTGAGATGTTTCCTGCCCACTTTTAGCCTCAATCAGGATCAGTGGGAGCCTCTGTGCTATCTCTGAGAATGACACTGTGCAAAGGAGAGTAGAAAAGGACAGGGTGCAATTAAGACGCACTCCCTCGCTTCCCCTACGAATCTCTGTACTCTCTATGTGTCACCAAGGTGACATTGCTAAGGGCGCTCCAATTTTTTTTCCTTTTTTTTTCCTTTTCTTTTTTCTTTCAGGTACAGAGGCTTGGCCTCGCATTTGTACCATTAATCATCTCGAAAGCTGTGATGTTGACATTAAAGAATTTTTTTTTACCACTACATGCCTCAAATGAGCCTTTTATCAAACAAATTATTACCTTCTATAATGAGTCCAAAGAAAGAATCAATTCAGTTTGTAGGTGGAACAGTATCGTGCGTAGAGAAGAATTATCATTTCTACATACGGGCAGAAGGCAAAGTTTGTAAAGATGACATTCTGCTCCTTGCTCAAATATTCCTGTAATAACTCCTCTTCTTCTGCTTATTTTCCCACTTTGTTTTCTGTAACAGAACATAGCCTTCATGGTTTCTCCACTTTTCATTCACTATAATTCATCGTTATCCACATTTTGGTTTTGATTGTTTTCTCTGTTTCTGCTATTATTTGGGAAATTCTGTGTTACTCCTGGAGTCGAACTGTGTCTGACTGTTTAGTAATGTGGTAAACGCTGCGTGACACGCGGTTACATTACATTATGGTTATTTGCTTGTTGGATGGAACAGTGTTGGAGTGATCTTGGAGCAAGAGACATAACAGATTCTCAGACTTTATGAAAAAAAAAATTTAAAAAGCTTTTTTTGTCCCATTTTGCCAAGTGAAACAGTGATTTCTCTTTCACCAGCTTCTATCCAGAATTGGAAACACGCCTCCACATATTCATTTACTAATCAGTGAGCAGACACAATCCTAACGGCTGAGCCGTTCTGCTGCCATACTTATATTTTGAGTCTCCTCTGCAAAATCTGTCGAGGGAGCGCTTTTCGTCTTTACACTTCAGCAAAGTTTTCTTGCTGCAGAAACTGTATACTCTCCTTGTCTCAGTAGCGGGAACTTATTTCTAAGAAAGTTTTTATTTACAGAATTTCTTCCAAACTCAGAGCACAGTAGAGTAAAAGCATGAAATATTTATGGACATATGTTGATGAACTCTAAAGCCATTTTACTCTGGACACTGTAGGAGTCCCCTTATTCGGCCCGGGGCAGTAGACAGTCAGAAGCCAAATTCCCATCAGTGCAGCTCTCCAGCTGAGACTTCACAAGCTTGATCCTTGCAACAATCATCAGCAGTAATGTGTCATGACCAAGTGCCCTTGAGGGAAGAAAGCTGCACCTTAATCTGCTCTTAAGTTAGAGGCAGACATTGTGTATGTGAGAAAATCATAGCAAAGGGATATACGATGGTATGTGAAGTGATCGTTTGGGGGGTAGCGGATGATTGATAAGTATATTTAATCCATTCCATTACACTGACTTATAGCTCATGGTAAGACTTATGTATACAGTAATCTGTGATGGAAGTGTAAATAAGAGAGGACCACAGTGGCGTGCCAAAACGACCTTAGCATTCTTCTTTTTCTTTTACTTATTCATTTATTTTTGGCTCAATAGCTGTACCGCTGCAGCTGATCTACGTCCTACACACTGCGCTCCATCTTAGATATTAAAAATGTCTTTGTCTTTTCTGGGAATGTTAGGAAGTTATTACACAAACAGACATTAAAATTCCAGTCAGATTACATCGTTTATTTGTTATTTGTGGCTCTGATTCGGGGTGCAGCCAAAACCTTTCAGTTCACTGAGTGTTTTCATCACACTGTGTGTTTTATTCAGTGAGCAGACGCATGGATCACAGTTCAATTAAAGTCCCAAGGTCGTGCGTTTGATGGCGTCACACGTAAAGCCTTCCCACGGACCTATTTGTCTTTGTTAGAGGCTCATGTATAATGCTTTCGGATACAAAAGACAGATTGGTCAGATCGTCCTGTCAGAGTCTCGCCAGACCGTGCCTTCATTTGAATTTGTCCTTCAATCAATTAAATCAATGAAAGGAACTAATCAGAGAAGGGACAAGCGGCGTGGCTGCATACTTGATTTCCCATACATCCAGGGTTACGATGGCTTATGGTACAGCGCTGTGGGAGAACGACTTCATGCGACCATTCAGAGGTGTCATAGATCCCCTAATTAGGACAGAGGCAGTGTGAATTCACACAACTTGCTGGATGTGAATAATTAAGTGCTTCCAGCATGCACTTCTTCCCTTTGATGTTTTTTTCCCCCTTTGAAGAGAGTCCCACTATATCAGCACCCTTTAAAAAGCCAGTTATAGCTGCCTCTTGTTAAAATATTAATCTTTAGTGACTCACCAAATATGGTGAGTCCTTAGTGAAATGCACTATTATTAGGGGGTGGTGCACTGCACTGTATTTATGTCTGCCGCCTCTCTGTGACTAGAGGAGAGCAGGATCCCTGTTAAGTTAAAAGGAAATTATTTTACATAATGTATACTTCAGCTTTGCGGAGGGTTTCAAGGAACCCACGAAAACAGCTGTAGAGCATTTCCCAGCATTGAAGTATTAGGTTATATCAGCTAAAACAATGATTAAGGCTAGTTCCCCGTGTGCTGCCTTGACTCCCTGAACTATTTAAATCAGATTGCCTGAGTTTTATGCAGTATAAAATAACGCACAGTCATTTGGACTATAATTTGTTACCTCTCATTTAAAAATAAATAGCAGTTTGTTCTGAAACATAATTTTCTGATGGCTTATGCAGAGTACTTTAGATCATGAATTTGAAAATTATCTTTGCACATTCTCTTAATGTTTATACCGTTATGAAATGTGCGATGTTCCCTGTGTTAGGTCTAGTGAGCTTAGCAAAGATGCTGCAAGCTGAAGCAACACAAACGCACAGTGCCACCACATAGTTCTTTCTCTTTGTTAATTAGACATAATATTAAAAGTTAATTTAAAGTAAGTGTGTCTTTATGTCAAGCTAATTACCTCTTAGTTCCAGCTCTGTAGTTAACACCAAGCGTGTTACCTAGAATGGTGAAATACATTTAAATACATTGTTTTAGCCGATTTGAACTGCTTTATATTTCTGTTTTATCTGGATTTGTCTGGCTAAATTTTCCATCCTGTAAATTAGTGTCGTTGGGGTTTTTTTGTTCTTTTTTTCCCCTTCAGGCATACTTTACAAAGGGAGTGGGGAGAACCAGTTTATCTCTCTCCAGCCCCCTGTGATTTCCACTGTTATGGGGAATGGACGGCGTCGAAGCATCTCGTGCCCCAGCTGTAATGGGCAGGCCCAAGGCAACAAGCTCTTGGCACCGGTGGCTCTGGCATGGGGTATTGATGGAAGCCTGTATGTGGGAGATTTCAACTACATCCGCCGTATCTACCCATCTGGCAATGTCACGAGCATCATGGAGCTGAGGTGAGGCTCATTTGTATGGGTTTTGTAATGCGCTCGACAGTTTACAAAGTCTGTCATGTATTATGCAACATCGTATTCATTTCAAGATTTAACTGTTAACCCTTGAATTTATTAAACGTAACTAAACTTGAATCTTCATTTACGCAAACGGATAAATAAAAAACTGCATTTTTATAAGAAGAAGCCACATACTGTACCCGACCCCGAAAGCGTGAACGAGAATATGGATCCCACATTTGTTCGGCGTGGAGAGGGAGACTGAAAGGGCATGGTGGACAGATTTTCAGTCACACAAATCTTTCCCCTGGCCGTAGAAATTTGAAATCTTTTACCAATCCATCTCCATAATTAGGAAAGACATCCTGTCTTCAGCGTGTAATTGGGATGATTTACGCCCTCATGCCAAGTTGGCTTTTCACAGCAATGACTCTGATTCGGCCAGTTGGCTTATTTCAGAGTAGCAGATGTTGATTAAATGTACATTGGACCGTCACCCTCCATGAGACACATACATGACAAACATATGAAAACTGCCTTAAGAGGACCAAGGTCACCACGCTGTTGGCAGGTGGTGTTCATGCACTGATTTGTGAGTTAATATCAGGGTTACAAGGGTGAATGATTCTTTAAGATCTAAGATGAGCAAGTGGTTTGGGCGAAAAAAGAAAAGAAGCCACCAGAAATGAGTCAATATACCTTCACAGGTGTAGTTTAAGACAGCGTCGCTGTTGTGTTGGAAAGTGTAAAATAATATAGATGGGAAAAAATGCAGTAAACAAGCATGCATGCTCAGCAGCCCGTCACTAGATAAATAATACTTTAAGAAATGGTTTATGACTCTAAGCAACTATTTTACTCTGTTTTCGGGAAGAGGAGCATAAAACACTACACTGAAGACTCGTGTTAGTCTTATTAAATTTAGTCTGACATAAGGAAAAAGCAACGTCTCTGTTCACAATAGATGGCAGTTGCAATACATAAACCGCATAAACCAGTGCAGCAGGTGAAAGTGCATGTTTCTTTGCCTAATGTGTGCTATCATTCATCGCTCGGAGAAGCAGAAGCGGCTGAGTTCGCTTATTTAGAATTTGCTGTTCTCTCTCAAACATTCAAAAACCAAAGTGGTTTGAGTTTCCGCTACGTGTCATGCAAGTTTCCTTGGTAACAGCACAAAAGTTATTCCCTCAACCTTTTTAAGTAAAGTGCAACGTCTGTGTTGAGATTCTGCCTTCAGCGTTCGGTGTAGCAAAGGGACAGAATCAATATTTCAATATGTGAGGTTAAAATTGAGAAATCCAGTGGTAATGGAGGATGATCGCAAGAGTGCACGCTTTCCTCTCTGCGTCTACTTTCTGCCAAACTGTCACTGACTTTCTCTAGTGGCTTTGTTGACTTCAATGAGGCTACTTTGCACTCCTGTTTGTTTGTCTTTCTTCCTTTAGTGAAGAAAAATGCTATTTTTAAGCTTGTTTTAGTGCAAATCTTGCTTTTAATTAGCAATAAAATACTCAACCCTGATTCATTCCTATGATTAAGTAACAAAAAAAGAGTAAAAACCATCTTGAAAATCAAACTATCCCTTCAAGATGTACCAGTTTCATTGTCTTTTTCCTCTTGCTCTGCTTCCTTTGCATCCTATCATAGAAATAAGGA